TATAGGACTTCATGTTAAAAGTGATTTTAGTACTGGGAAAAAATATGCAAAAATTCTTGATCCTAATGATCCTAATGATAATGATTCATCTGATATAATAATAGTTGATCCAATAGAACCAAACAGCAATAACAACAATGACAATATTAAAGATGACGATCATCCAGAAGCCTTAGTGATTGAAAGTTCATAATACTAATAAAACGCTAATAAAACATGCTGTTTTCAAACCGCTACTCCTCCTCCGTTTTCAAAGATATAGACACCAAATTAGTGTGCAAGATAGTATATGTAATATAGATTAGAGCTATGGAAAGATTTAATGGATCAAAAATACCAATGGCGTAAAAAAACTCATTTGAAATACAGAAAATTTCTTTCTTTATTGTAATACCTCTATCTATTGCAACTTCCGAAAAGATTGTATGAAATAAAGATTCTCTCTCCATAGTACTGTTCTACAAATGTATCCTGATCAAAAACCTCTGATGATTTTATAAATGTAACGATTTTCCAGAAGCCTTAGCAATTGAAAGTTCATAATACTAATACTAATAAAACACTAACGAAGAAATATTTTGTTACGCCGTTTCCTTTTTAGAGAAAAAAAGGGGGCACCATAAAAAAATCCGCATATATGGATTTACGTTATGACATTAATTAGATTTGTTAATCAACTTATATCGAATACCCCAATAATCCTGGGCACCCTACACTCGATTACCCCAAAAGGCTTGATATTTTTACCCTGAAATTTTCATATCACATCCAAAAATATGTAACTTTACCTATGAAATTCCCTATGACATTTTATTTGTTTTCATTTAGACAATCAGTGTTGTCAAAATTGCCAGTCCAATCAGCGCAGTAAAAAAAAAATGGCTTAGTTGTTAATATTAATCGTCAATTTTAATTAGGAATTTCGCACCCATATTTGATTGGCTACAATAATAATTTAAAGTGATAAGAAATATCATGAAACCAATTAAATTGTGCCAAAATGTCAATTCGTAAAATATATTTTTCATATAATAATAATTATTTTGTTATAGTATTATACATTATTCTAATTGTAGTTTATGTCTCTTCTTCTTCCTCTTTCTCTTTGTTGAATGAAATTGATAATAAGGAATGTGATAAAGACATAAACTGTTATTCTAAAGTTTTTGTTGCCACAAATAATTTCCAAGAAGTGAAAGGAGGACAATCAATACCTCCAGGTACGATAGAGAGTATATATCTTTTTTAATGTAATTCGCTAATAATTAATAATTAATATTTTTGTATAGGACTTCATGTTAAAATTGATTTTAGTACTGGGAAAAAATATGCAAAAATTCTTGATCCTAATGATCCTAATGATAATGATTCATCTGATATAATAATAGTTGATCCAATAGAACCAAACAGCAATAACAACAATGACAATATTAAAGATGACGATCATGCGAATGATAAGAAATCCCAAAGCTCAAATAGTCAAGATTTCAAAGTGACAATACATCAATCACCTTCATCCTCACCTTCTTTTTCATCACCACCCTCGTTTGATAGCGACAACAACAACAACATTAATTCAAATTACGAATTTCAAAAGTTATTATTATTACACAATAAAAACGATCGAGATGTTCCACATTCGGACCATATTCTTTTTGATGAATATGTTTCTCAATTAGAAAAACCTACTTCACATCCCTTAACAATTTTAATATCTGTTTTGGATGGATTAGAGGATTTGGTTCATGAACTTGATTTTGGTATAAAATTGACTAAAGAATTTGGATTAAAGTATTTGATTTCACTTTTAAATTTTGATTCAGATGAAGTCAAACAAAAGGCTGCTATGGTTATTGGTACTGCATTGCAGGTAGCTAATTAAAAATAAAATGTGATTATTTTGCAGAAGGCAATAAAATTAATATCTTTTCAAATATAAATATAAATTTATTTCTAGAATAATCCATCAGCACAAAACAATGCGATTAATTTAAATCTTTTTCCATATTTATTGGATAAATTTTCTAAAGAAAATAATCTTAAAGTTTCTTCACGTCTTCTATATGCATTATCAAGTTTAGTGCGTGGTAATGAGTATGCAATACAATTCATCAAAAATAACCAAGGGTTAGAAACATTGACAAATGTCTACACAAAATTTGATGACAATGAATTTAAAGCAAAATTTGCTGTATTTATATCAGATTTTATAGATCCCAATATGGTTAAATCAACTTCTACTACTTCTTTACCATCTTTTAATGTAGCTCACGTTGATCAAAATCAAGATCAAGATTCATTAACATTATTTTCAACATTGATGGAAACTCTGTGTAAAAAATTTCAAGATACTTTATTTGATGATCAAGGAAATGCTAAAAATGTTGATTTCAATTCACGTGAGAAGATACTTGGAGGAATCTCAATGATAAAAAGTTATTATTCAAATATGTGTCCTGCACAAAATGGATTTGAGATTTGGTTATCAAAACAACAAATTATTTCAAATATTAAAGATGATGAAGGTTCTTATGATTTAGAAGATTATTCTCGTCTAATAAAACAAATTAAAATTCAATATGATTTAAAATAATTTATTTTTGTTTTTTATTAAGAATATTAATGCTAGCAATATAATATTATGTTATTTATTATAGAAATAGTAGCTAACATTTTAAATTTTAATATCTCATGTAGTTTAGAATAATTTTATCATTATTATGATTATTATTAATAATGTAAAAATTTTTGATCTTTTAATTACATCCATGTCTCTCATCCATGTCTTTTTCATTCACAACTCCATTTTTAAATGGTAAATCATCCGAGATTTATCGTATCAATAAAATATCAAATTGAGTTGTCATCAAGATTTGATGGTTTCCTCCTATGCTTTTCCCCTTCTTTACTTTTATTCCACGATTTTTATAGGTCTTAAAAGACCAGTCACTTTGAACCACGGTTCTTATAGGAACAGCGGATCTTTCTTAATAAAATTTGAATTATATTCCAAAGTTTTATAAATATTGTGATAAATAAAACGGATTTATCAGTGCCATCCATCCAATTGTATGTTGGATATGTGACCTAGCCTCTTTCGTTTTAATATTTTAATATTTTAATATTTTAATATTTTTATTAGCGGAACAAAAATAATTAAATTTGTGCTTACAAATTCACTGAAGCTTTCTAGGTACAAGAAAAAGGCAGCAAGATAATTTTGTAAAATAAATTGATTGACGAACATTGTATATAAAAGCTTGCAATAAATCGACGAGTGTAGCTAAAAAATTATCTCGAATTCGACCATAAAACGTAAAACAATCAAAATCGACCAAAAAGCTCCTTTGCAATATGTAATTCACATCAAAATATTATTGAGTTGGCCTTAAGCGATCTTTAATCAGTCCCAAAAGACCGGTCTTTGGTACTGATACCGCGACCGGACCAACCTAGATTTTTCTTCCTGTTTAGTTTCTAGTTTCCGTTTTTTATAAGTAAAATGTTTTGAAAAAAAAATATATTCTTTCAATGAAATATTTTATTTTTACTATTGTTAGCATTATTTAGAGTCATTTTAGTATTTTTTATTTTGTCTTTTGCTTCTCTTATCACCTCGACATTCCTTTCAATCACCACTACACACTCTTTTTCTTTAATATGTGATTTAGCTTTAAGGTATCGCTTCCACTTTCACACTAATACCACCACTGCCAATGCTTTAATCAGAAAAACTCCCATCATTGCCCTCGCAATAACTATTGCTTTTGCCTTTGCCATTATTCCTTTTATTAGTAATATCATTAGGAGGACATGAAATTTCAATTCTAATTTTTTTAAAAAATTTCGAATAACATTTATTAGCTTAGAAACCATATTCGCAGCTTAATAATTTTTTTGTAAAAAAAGAATGATACGATTAGAGATTTTGCTCTTTTAAAATAAAATATACAAGGTAAAAAAAAGTTTTTATTACATTATAAGGTAAAATTATAAAAGTTTGCCTAAACTAAAATGTGATGATGCCGAAACTCGGAGAAAAAGATGTTATAATCCGAAACTTGGTCACTTTGTCGAAACTCAATCACTGTGCCGAAACTGCGGTTTGTTGTCGAAACTACAAATGAACACTGAAACTCAATACATTGATTTGCTAGATGAATTCCCAATCTACTAGGATAAGCTCTACCCCATCTCTGATGACAATATTTACAAGTTGCTTCGTAATGGCCTTTGGTTTTTTCATCTCCTTTTGTAAAATGGGTCCAAACTTCCGACAAATGGTATATCGCCAGCATGTTTTCTTTTGTTATTTGACAATTCTGGTGTAATTGATGAAATTTCATATATATCATCATTTTCATGTCGAAAATGATTATCTAAAGTATTTGATGTTTCTTGGTCGGATACCATTATTTTAAAGTAATAAATTTTTAGTATAAAAATATCCCACACACAAGTGATATATCACACGGTAATAAATACAAAAAAAAAATTTAATTATTTTCGTGGAAAGGTTATTTAATAGGCAGGTTTAATTATTCAAATTAAATCATTTGGATCATCATTATATGCTTTGAATAATTAGTTACACAAGATGCACATTTTATAGTTCCAGCGCATAGATTTAGTTTCGCACGTAGATTTAGTTTCGGCATTTTGCTTGCTTGAAAACCGAAACTAAAATTTTTAATTTGCCGAAACTATTGCCGAAATTTAGTAGTTTAGGCAAACTTCTATAGGTAGAATTATTATTATAATATAATGAATTATATATCAAATAAAAAAAAACAATACTTTTATAAATATTAAGAATTCTTAACTAATAATAATGATGAAAAGGAAGAGGTAATGGAGGCAGGACATTTCACCTGCACTGTAAAATCCCATGATGAAGTAGAAGAAAAAAAAAGGGATATTGGGTAATTATATTTGCCATTCATTCATTTACTAATTCGATCTTTCTATCTAGAAACTAATTAGCTCGTATACACCCTAGGCAAAAGTTTTCGGACACCATATATAAAATTTATATCATTGGCAGCCTGGTTTTGACGAACATGCGTGCAAACTTTCATAATTTTAACATCTAAAATTCCGGTAAATAAAAATACTGACTTCGATTAAAAAATTGATGTCATTTGTGAGCTTTGTATTTTCTCAAAAATCCACATAGTAAATAAATACAAACTATATGATCCGAAAATTCATGTTCCAAGGAATGTATGTATTGAAAATCATACTTCTAACGCGCTTATATAATTAGATCTTGAACAACATTTTTTCATCATCTCTTTTTACAAAAATGCCGATTTGGACGAGGAAAAATATTATGAATGGTAAAAGTATTGGAGCAATCAAATTACGCGTTATAAAATTCAGATGATGTTAAAAGTGATCTACGATCTGGTAGACCAAAAGGTTTAGATGATGACCACTATACATGCAAGCCTAAATTGATTTGGGAATGTCATAATATTACGGCATCTGAGTGATAACCGTAATTAGAGGCCGTATTGTCATAATTAGGCCGTAATGTTATAATATAATAATCCATGTAATCCTAAAAGAAATTGTTATTAAATGGTCATATAACTTCCAAAATATGTATGGCCGTGTTTGAATTAACTTTTGAGTTACACTCGTCGATTAATTGCAAGCTTTTATATTCAATTTTCATCAATTAACTTGTTTTACGAATTTGCTGCCACTTTCTTGTATCTAGAAAGTTTCGGTGAATCTGTAACCACACTTTTATGGCACAATTAGTGTTGGTCGAAAGTTAAAAGTCAAGGCAAAAATCACGGTTTGATATAGGTTTGTTTAAGACAATCTTTTCAAATTTGGTAATGTTCTCCAACATTGCATTTTCGTATTAGTATATAATATTAAAATTTTAGGTCAACCCAACTATTCATGGCCTGAAATGTTATTATTATTATTATATATAATCCAAAGTTGGCCACCCATTATTCAATAAATAAGCTCATTTTTTACATTCACACAACGTAAAATACCTTAGACTTGTTAAAATTTTCTAATGAGTTGAGCATATCGTGATGAATTTGTCCATAACTGTAATTAATAAACTGGTATTAGTTTTATGAATATACTTTTATTTTTTTACCTTTGACTCATCATCCTATGTTACGGTGCAAATCATCCATAATCATTAATTGCTTATAGTAACAATTGATCAACTTCAAAATACTAAAACGAAAAAAAAATTATATCATTTTAAAAAATTTAACCGATAAGTTTTATTGTTCATGACTCAAGCTTCAAAACTTATCGG